TATGTGTCGTGTTCCTGGGTGGCCATTTGCTCATTGGTGCATGTGCATATGTGTGTGTGTGCTTGTGTGTGGTGTATGTATGTGTGTGAGTATATGCGTGTGTTTGAGTACAAGCATGCATGTGTGTGTGCGCACATGAGTACATGTGTATGTGCTGTGTTCCTGGGTGGTCATGTGTTCATTTGTGCATGTACTTGTGTGTGGGGTGTGTGTGTGTGCGCGTGCGTGTGTGCTTGTGTGTGGTGTGTGTACGTGTGTGTGCATGTATGCCACAGAACATGTGTGGAGGTCAGAGAACAACTTTTGGGAGTTGGATCTCTTCTACTGTGGGCACCTGGGTTTGAACACAGGTTGCCGGGATTGACAGCAAACGCTCTAACCTTCTGAATCATCTCACTGGCCCTTGTTTTCTTTTTAAATGATGAAAATATTTTTGTCTGCTTACCCTGGTCTTGATTCTGCTTCTGAAATCAGCATGACTCATACTTGTGCAGATTTTAGAGCACGTTCTGACCCATGGGGGAGTGTTCTAAAACAAGCAACAGCCTCTGTGTGTCTCATCTGTAACTCTTCAAAGATCTGCAGCCTATAGTGCATATTCAGACTCTGGGGAATGCCAGTGATCATGGTTGGGGAGTCCTCACAATGTGTTAATATTCAGAGCCACCCACAAGCTTAACAAAACCACTTGTCGATGGTCGAAATGGCTGATTTAAGGTTGTTGTTTTTTTTCTTCCAAAATCTTGTTCATTTTTCTGATAGCCTTCAAAGGACTTGTGTGTGTCTTATGTGTATTAACTTACTAAATTAACTTTATTTTTAGAAATGAAATAGCTACCAGGCTACAAGGACAGGCCTAGAAGCCTCAGGTTCTGACTTTTACTCCTGTATCTGCTTTTTTTTTTAAAGGATTTATTTATTATGTAAACAGTGTTCTGCCTGCATATACACCTTTATGTTAGAAGAGGGCACCAGATCTCATTACAGATGGTTGTGAGCCAACACATGGGTGCTAGGAATTGAACTCAAGACCTCTGGAAGAGCAGCCAGGGCTCTTAACCACTGAGCCATCTCTCCAGCCCCTGTATCTGTTTTCTTTAACCGCATCTACAAAGCCAATCTCCTCTGCTCAGCCCTGGAACACTTACTCCAGTGTATAGAATGAATTGTTTCTGGATCCTGGCATTACAAAGGTCAATTAGAAGCTGGCCCTCATGACTCTGGCCTGTAATCCCAACTACTCAGGAGGCAGAGGCAGGAGGATTGCCTGGGCTACAGAGTGAATCAGAGTCAGCATGAGCAGTTTCATGAATTTTTTTTCTCAAAATAAAAAGCGAAGATGGCTGGAGCTAAAAGCTTAATGCTAGAGAGCTCACCCGGTGCGCAGAGGTCCCAGGTTCAGGTCCCACTATTTAAAAAGAGAGGGAGAGCCTGTTGTAGTATTGTCTTTTACTAGTTCTTGGTTTTAAAAATGGCCTCAACAGGGTATATTCAAGAGCTCAGTGATGACGTGTGACCAGTAAAGGACCTTAGTAAGGTCTAGATGCAGGAATGTGGGAGGAGCGGGGAGTAAGGATGGCGACTGTGTCTTCTACAAGAATCTTTTAAAAAATCAATTGATTTTAAATTGATTTTTAAATTTATGTGTATGGGTATTTTGCCTGCATGTATGTCCTCAGAGGTAAGAGGAGGGCATGGGATCTCCTGGAACTAGAATTACACACAGGTGTGAGCTGCCATGTAGGTGTTGGGGATTGAACATGGGTCCTTTGGAAGATCAGTCAGTGTTATTAACCACCAAGCCATCTCTCTAGCCCTCTACTTAGAATCTTTTTATTTATTATTATTATTTATTTATTTAGGTTTTTCGAGACAGGATTTCTCTGTGTAGCTTTGCGCCTTTCCTGGAACGCCTGGCTACCAAGTGAGTTCCAGAATCTTTTTATTTTATTTTATTTTTTAATTCATCTATTTATTTTACATCCTGGCCACAGCCTCCTCCCATCCTTCCCTCCCAGTCCTTCCTCCCCATTTCCACCCTCAACCTCCTCCTCTTCCTGCTGCTCCATCCAGGAAAGAGCAGGTCTCCCATGAGTATCAATAAACCATGGCCTATCAGGTTGAGTCAGACTAAGCCCCTCCCCATGTATTAAGGCTGGGCAAGGTGACCCAGTATGAGTAGGGTCTCAAAAGCCGGTAAAAAGTCAGATACAGCCCCTGTTCCCCTGTTAGGAGTCCCACAGGAGGACCAAGCTACACAACTGTAACATATCTGTAAAGTGTCTAAGTCAGTCCCACGAAGGTCCCTGGATGTCAGTTCAGTCTCTGTAAGCTCCTACGAGCCCAGGTTGATTGTGTGAGTTTTCCCGAAGTGTCCTTGGCCCCTCAGGCTCCTACACTCCCTCCTCCTCCTCCTCCTCCTCCACAGGATTCCTGAACTCCGCCTAATGTTTGGCTGTGGGTCTCTGCCTCTGCTTCCATCAATTGCTGGACGGTGCCTCTCATGACAATTGGGCCAGGCACCAATCTGGTCACAGGAGATGGCCAGTTCAGGCTACTTATAGGCTATCTCTAGGGGTCTAAGTTGGGGTCCTCTCTGTTGACTCCTGGGAGATTCCCCTGCGGCAGGCTTCCACCCTACTCCAAATTGTACCCCCCACCTCCCAGCAGTCTCCCTCAGCAGTCTTTCCCTCCATGCCCCCTCCCCAGCCTGATCGATCATCTTCACATCTCCACCCTCCCTCAGTCCACTCACAAAATATCTTCTATTTCCCCTTCCCAGGGAGATCTGGGTGTCTCCCCATGAATGAACCCTCCTTGTTACCTATTCTCTCTAGGTCTGTGGATTGTTAGCATAGTTATCCTTTATTTTGTAGCTAATATCTACTTATGAGTGAGTACATACCATGTTTGTCTTTCTCAGTCTGGGTTACCTCACTCGGGATGATTCTTTCTAGTTCCATCCATTTGCCTGCAAATTTACTGGTGTCCTTATTTTTAATAGCCGAGTAATTATCTGAGTACATTGTGTAAATGTACCACATTTTCTTCATTCATTCCTCAGTTGAGGGACATCTAGGTTGTTTCTAGGTTCTGACTATTACAAATAAAGCTTCTGTGAACATAGTTGCACAAGTGTCCTTGTGGTATGATTGAGCATCCTTTGGGTATATGCCCAGGAGCAGTATTACAGGGTCATGATTGATTCTCAGTATTCTGAGGAGCCGCCACACTGATGTCCAAAGTGGCTGCACAAGTTTGCAGTCCCATCAGCAGTGGAGGAGTGTTCCCCTTACTCCACATCCTCTCCAGCATAGGTAGTCATCAGTGTTTTTGATCTTAGCCATTCTGACAGGTGTAAGATAGAATCTTAGAGTGGTTTTGATTTGCATTTCCCTGATAGCTAAGGATGTTGAACATTTCTTTAAGTGTTTCTCATTCACTTGGAATTCCTCTGTCGAGAATTCTCTGTTTGGATCTGTATCCCATTTTTAATTGGATTATTTGGTATGTTGCTATCTAGTTTCTTGAGTTCTTTATATATTTTGGAAACTAGGCCTCTTTCAGATGCGGGGTTGGTAAAGAATTTTTTCCATTCTCTAGGCTGCCATTTTGTCCTATTGATGGTGCCTTTTGCCCTACAGAAGCTTCTCACTTTCATGAGGTCCCGGTTGTTAATTGTCGATCTCGGGGCCTGTGCTGTCCATGTTCTGTTAGGGAGTGGTCTCCTATGCCATGTGTTCAAGATTATTTTTCACTTTCTCTTCTCAGGTTCAGGTTCAGTGTGTCTGGAGTTATGTTGAGGTCTTTGACCCACGTGGACTTGAGTTTTATGCAGGGTGATAAATATGGATCAATTTGTATTCTTCTACATGCTGGCATCCAGTTAGACCAGCACCATTTGTTGAAGATGCTTTCTTTTTTCCGTTGTATAATTTTGGCTTCCTTGATGAAAATCAGGTGTCTATAGATGTGTATATTTATATCTGGGTCTTTGATTCAATTCCATTGCTCCACATGGCCGGTTTTATGCCAATACCATTCGGTTTTTATTATGACAGCTCTGTAGTAGAGCTAGAAATCAGGGATTGTGATGCCTCCAGAAGTTCCTTTACTGTACAGGATTTTTTTTGGCTATCCTGAGTTTTTTGTTTTTCCATATGAAGTTGAGTGTTGCTCTTTCAAGGTCTGTAAAGAATTGTGTTGGGATTTAACAGGGATTGCACTGAATCTGCAGATTGCTTTTGGTAGGATGGCCATTTTTACTATTTTAATCCTACCGATTCATGAGCATGGGAGATCTTTCCATCTTCTGATATCTTCTTCAATTTCTTTATTCAAAGACTTGAAGTTCTTGTCATATTTGTCTTTCACTTGCTTGATTAGAGTTATACCAAGATATTTTATATTATTTGAGGCTATTGTAAATGGTGTTGATTCTCTGATTTCTTTCTAAGCCCACTTATTGTTATATTCCTTGTATCCATGATCTCTCCAAGACGTTTATCATGAAGGGGTGTTGGATTTTGTCAAAGGCTTTTTCAGCATCTAATGAGATAGATAATCATAAGGTTTTTTTCTTTCAGTTTGTTGATGTGGTGGATTACATTGACAGATTTTCATATGTTGAACCATCCCTTCATCTCTGGGATTTCCTTATGGTTATCAGTCTATTTAAATTGTTTATCTGATTTTGGTTTAACTTAGGTAAGTGGTATCTAACAAGAACTTTGCCCACTTCTTTTTGATTTTCCAATTTTGTGGAGTACAGGTTTTTGAAGTTTGACTAATGATTCTCTATATTTCCTCAGAGTCTGTTGTTATATTCCCCTTTTCACTTATAAGTTTGTTGATTTGGATATTCTCTCTCTGCCTTTTAGCTGTTTTGGATAAGGGTTTATTTATTTTATTGATTTTCTCAAAGAACCAACTCTGTGTTTCATTGATTCTTTGTATTGTTCTCTTTGTTTCTATTTTATTGATTTCAGCCCTCAGTTTATTTCCTGTTGTCTACTCCTCCTGGGTGAGCTCATTTCTTTTTATTCTAGAGCTTTCAGTTGTGCTGTTAAGTTGCTGGTATGAGATTTCTCCAAACTCTTTATGAAGGCACTTGGTGCTATGAACGTTCCTCTTAGCAGCGCTCTCATTGTGTCCCATACGTTGGGTATGTTGTACATTGTTTTCATTGAATTCTAGGAAGTCTTTAATTTCTTTCTCTATTTCTTCCTGACCCAGTGGTAACTAAGTAGAGAGCTGTTCAGTTTCCATGAGTTTGTAAGCTTGCTGTTGTTGAAATCCAGCTTTAATCCATGTAGTCTGATAAGATACAGGGGGGTATTTCAATTTTTTTTAATCTGTTGAGACTTGCTTTCTACATAGAATCTTTCAACAAATGTTTTTGACTTTCACTTTATGGCAAGCAGACCCCTGGAATGCACAGAATACACTGTATTCTACCAGCTAAGGGCTTGGTACTGTGGTGATATTGTGTTCCCCAAAATATTATGCACCCTAATAAATTTACCTGGGGTCAGAGAACAGAACAGCCATAATATTAAACATAGAGGTTAGGCAGTGGTAGCACACGCCTTTAATCCTAGCATTCCAGAAGCAGAGATCCATCTGGATCTCTGTGAGTTCAAAGCCACACTGGAAACAGCCAGGCATGGTGACTCACGCCTTTAATCTCAGGAAGTGATAGCAGAAAGCAGAAAGGTATATAAGGCGTGAGGACCAGGAACTTAGAGCTGGTTAAGCTTTTCGGCTTTTAGCAGCACAGTTCAGCTGAGATCCATTCGGATGAGGACTCAGAAGCTCCAGTCTGAGGAAACAGGATCAGCTGAGGAATTGGCAAGGTGAGGAAGCTGTGGCTTGTTCTGCTTCTCTGATCTTCCAGTGTTCACTCCAACACCTGGCTCCAGGTTTGTTTTTATGAATAAGATCTTCTAACAATTCATGCTACAGATACTGACTACGGAAGGTGGTCAGGAGTCAGTCTAGAGATGGGATTCTGGGAGATAGGAGACTTCACACATTGGAATTCCAGGAAGAGTTTAGATTACTTCATGGAGGGTCCCAGGGAAAACCAGGGCCCAAGGGTGAGACTGCCAATGTCATCCTACATTCAGCAGGAACCTTGTATGCAACAGAGCTGGAATTATAGCTACTTCCTTACAATGCCTCTGTACTGTGGGAGAATTTATGCAAGGCATGTGTAGAGTGGGTTCTTCAACTGACAGCAGACCTAGAGGCCAGTCTACAGAGTAATATCTGTCCATAAGATGTTCCAGGTCTAGTTTCCAAATAAGGGATGTAAAAACAAAGTGTGTGTGTGTGTGTGTGTGTGTGTGTGTTTACACACTATATATGATATGCTAAATATTCCCAATGCAAAGGGCATGTCTTTTACTCTGAGGGCATAATATAATGTCCTTTTTTGTTATGTAGTTGGTGGTATTGTTTTTTTTTCCCACACAATTCTGAATAATAAATCAAAATATGGAATGCTTCACGAATTTGCGTGTCATCCTTGCTCAGGGGCCATGCTAATCTTCTCTGTATCGTTCCAATTTTAGTATATGTGCTGCCGAAGCGAGCACTGTTTGTTGTTTTATATCTTGGAAAAATTATATAGATTGTCATATAAAAAAAACACCAATTCTGGCTGCGGAATCTGGAAATCTGGTAATCACTGATAACAGAGACAAAACCACCCTCTGGCCATCTATCAGCCTTCTAAGGAGCTGTAGTTTATGGATGTGGCCACTAGAGGCCACTATTGTGTACAGCAGTGCAGTTTGGAGAAACCAGAAATATGGTTCCCTCTACATTTTTTTTTTTTTTTTGAGATTTATTTTATTTTTATTTTCTTAACCATTGAGCCATCTCTCTGGTCCCATTGTCTTTTACAAATTGTGGTAAGTCACGTGCGACACAACACTTAATCATTTTAACTGCCTCTCCCTGCAGTTGGGAATCTAACACTGCCTTGGAGCTGCAGGGCCGGGCGCTCTACAGCGAGCTACATCCCGATCTCACATTTCCACTCATGTAAGTGTACAGTTCGGTGGTACTGAGTGCATTTGCCACTCTGCGTAACCCTCACCAGCATGTCCATAACTATGCCCCCCCCCCCAAACTCTACACTAATTACGCAATGATTCTCCCTCCAGCCGGAGACAGCCATGCTCCTTCCGGTCTCTATGAATTTAAATACTTAGGTTTTGTCTGTAAGCAGGTCGTCTATCCTTCCGTGACCCTCTTACTTCACCTAATGTGACATCTTCAAGGTTGACCCACGATGTAGCAGGTACCAGAACTTTCTCTTTTAATGGTTATAGTCCAGTGTGCTTGTGTGCATAATGTAACTTTTAATATTTAACCTAATTCTTCTGCTTTTTCAGATAGGGTTTGGATAAGTTGCCCAAGCTGGCCTAGAATTCACTCTCTAACCCAGGCTGGCTGCAAACTTGGGATCCTTCTGCCTCAGCTTCCTGGCTGCTGAGATTCTAAGTCTGGCTCTTGAAATTTGTATAGGGGAAATTTCAACCACTCTGAAAACCGCAGAGAATAAAATGATATACTCACATAAACCCGTTTTCCACTTCCAACACAGTCATCTGATGGATTCTTCCATGTGCCCCACTGCACATTATGAAGCCAATTCCAGAAATGCCATTAACCTGCAAACAGTTTGATTAGATCTAAAAGGATTTAAAAAATTATATATTTATTATTGTTGTTGTTTTCTTTTTTCGAGACAGGGATTCCCTGTGTATCCATGGGTGTCCTGGAACTCTCTCTGTAGACCAAGCTGGCCTCAAACTCACAGAGATCCGCCTGCCTCTGTCTCCTGAGAGCTGGGATTAAAGGCACCGCCACGCCTGGCTTCGAGATTATTATTTTAAACATAACTAAAATATCGTTATCACATCCCAAAACATTTAATTGTGATTCCTTAGCACAGTCAACTCTCAAAACAGTGCCCAAATTTCTACATAACTTTTCATGCTTGGTCCGATTGTATTTTCTTAGATTTATAACAGACCACTTTAAGCTCGCAAAAGATCTGGTAGTGGTAGGAGGGACCTGGTTCTAAACCAGAAGCCGTGGGATGAGCGGATCAGAAAAACTTCTGGGATGTGAAAGAATCTTTGCCATGCAGTCTGTTCCACACTGTTTGTTTACCTGTTTGCCGGAGGCTGCGCTGCAGAGAGAATTAAAACAGAGCTGGCGAAGATGACTGCGGAGCAGCCGAGCTGCCGGAGGGCCATGCGAGGATTCGCTTGTGCTCACAGTTCTCGGCTCCGCTTCTTCCTCCCCTAGGAACACGTAGTAGCTTAGTTTTGAGACGGATCAGAAAGTCAGGAGTGCAAAGGGAACGGCTTATGCATACAACAGAAAGAAAAATTAAATGAATGAGAGATACCGGAGGACAGACACTAAGATGGGCTGGGATGTGGACGGGGGCTGGAGAGAGGGCTCCGGCTTAGGGGGGCGTGCTGCTTTTCCAGAGGAGCCGAATTCAGCTTCCAGTACTCGGGTTCTGCAGCTCGCAGCCACCTGTAACTCCAGCCCCAGGGGAGGCAGCTCCTCTTCTGCCTGCCCCACCCCATATGTGTGAGCTCACAGAAATAAAAACATCTTTCAAATAAAGGGAGAAAGGTTAGAAAACCAACATGAAAGAAGAGATTCGAGGTACTCCAAGATAAAGCTTTTGTCTCTTGTTGTTTTATTAAAGCAGAGTGCCAGACAACCAACCATAGGATACCCAGTATTTTATCTCAAAACCAGATTAATTACCTATTCTTATTTGATGCGGCTGGCACCCCTACATCCAATGCTCGGGATTCCACGGGTCAAACTGATGATTTCTGGCTCTGGAGTTTCATTCACAGAAGGTAGTTAAGCCTTTTTATTTATGTAGGTCACTTGATTTGTATGTCTAATGAAACCCGGTACTTCATAAGATAACCTTAAAAATTAGTTTAAATTTTTTTTTATTTAATTCAAATTTTAAAGTGTATTCTATGCAATGGTAAAATTATCCAGAGTAATGTAGTGATTTATAATACATTGCTTAAAGGCCCACAGTAGGTTTCACATCAACCTCCAACAAGACTTTTCTTTTCAGTACTGACGGGCTCGGCACCACGCTCAAGCATTTCAGTTTAGCTTTAGCAAAAGCAAATATTTAGATTTTAAAAGTAAACATTTGATCCAGAGTCCATTAGATGAAAAAGTTAAACTAAAGCTGCCTTGTTAGTTATGCCCCCAAAGGCAAAGTCTAAGTCAGTTGTCTATTGACCTGGAACACACTTTTTTTTTTTGGCTTTGCACAATCATATTTATAATCATTGCAAGAAGGGGATTTTTGAAAACTGGCCTCTTTGATCTACATTCCCACAAAAAGCTATTGAAAGTGCAAGTTTCTGCTCAGTTGTTTTTTCCTTTGCTTTAAAAAAAAAAAAAAAAGGTGCCAGGAATCCCACCCCACCCACCCACTGCTGGGTAACAGTCAATCATTTGTGATTCCTGGCTCAAATGCAGGCATTCATACCTAGGAAAACGCTTTGCAATGAATGGGATCTTGGTCTCTACTAAAAACAAAAAATGGCTAAAAAGAGACTTCAATTTATTTTCAAGTCCTATGGCTACATTCCTTTAATTCCTAACTGGTGAAAATATTGGCAAATGACTGGGTTTTACTTGGGGTCAGAGTGACTTCTTTGGTTGTGCCTACAGGCACTGTGGAGCATGGTTTGAGACTCAAATGGAATAAATATTGGCCCTGAACACAATGTCCAAGGAGATACAGATGAGAGAATTGAGTACTTCAGTGGAAAACAAACAAACAAACAAACAAACAAACAAACAAACAAGTAAGGGGCTGGAGAGACGGCTCAGCAGTTCCGAGCACGGGCTGCCTTCCCAGGGTTTGATTCCCAGCACCCACATGCAGGCTCGCAACCATCAGTTACTCCAGCCTGACACCCTCGTCTGCCTCTGAGAGCAAGTGGCAGGCACCTAAGTGGTACACAGACATACAGACAGACATACCCGTACACATGAGATAGGAACAACTAAGTATAATAATTCCAACAGTTGGTCTATCAAAAGTTACTTCCCGGCCTGGAGAGGTGGCTCAGCGGTTAAGAGCACTGGTTGTTCTTCCAGAGGTCCTGAGTTCAAGTCCCAGCAACCACATGGTGGCTCACAACCATTTGTAATGAGATCTGGTACCCTCTTCTGGTATACAGACAGACTGTATACATAATAAATAAATATTTTTTTAAAAAGTTACTTCCCGAAGTAACCCGGTCCTATGGAAGAATGGCAATCCTTTCAGCTGCTGAGCCCTCTCCACAGTCCCAGCATTTACTTTTATGAGAAAAGGTCAACTCCTAGTGTTCCAGATACATAATGAGAAAGTTACGCTATTTTCTGACAAATTTTCAGACAGGTTAAAGGAACACTTTTAAGCTTATGGGTTGTTTATATCAGTATTTGAGGGTACAACCTTAAGTGGGGAGAAAACAAAACTTCAAACAGGGAGCTGAAGAGAGGGCACCTGCTGCTTTTAGACGCTCTGGGGAAGGTCTTAGAGCTCACGTCAGGTGTCTCCCAGCATCCATAACTCCAGCTTTGGGGGATCTGATGGCCCTGGCCTCCATGGGCACCAGGGACGCATGCAACACACAGTACTGTCACATATGCATAAAATAAAAAGCTCAGATGCACACAATAAAAGCAACCTTCTAGAATGCATTTAAAATTAAAATAAAAAATGAAAACAGCTCCAAGCAGGCTGCCCCTTGAGATTTGAGGGAATCGGGTTTGAACTTAGCAGGATGCCAGCCCCAAGCCATCACGGCTCTGAGGAGCACCACAGCTCCAATGTTCTTTAAGGGCTTTGGGGTGCCAGCCGAGAGCAGTCCTTTGCGGAATCAAGTCTGCAGCTGTACCGGCTAGTTTTGTGGGTCAACTCGACACAAGCTAGAGTCATCAGAGAGGAAGGAGCCTCAGCTGAGGAAATGCCTCCATGAGATCCAGCTGTAAGGCACTTTTCTCAATTAGTGATCAATGGGGGAGGGGGAGGGAGGCAGGGCAGCCCATTGTGGGTGGTGCCTTCTCTGGCCTGGAGATCTTGGGTTCTATCAGAAATCACGCCCCAGCAAGCCAGGGGAAGCAAGCCAGTAAGCAGCTCCCCCACATGGCCTCTGCAGCAGCCCCTGTCCTCAGGTTCCAGCACTGCTTGAGTTCCTGTTCTGACTTCCTCCAATGATGGACTATGATCCGGAAGTGTAAGCCAAATAAACTCTTTCCTCCCCAACTAACTTTTTGTTCATAGTGTTTCGTCGCAGCAATCGAAACCCTAACTAAAACAGCCGGTTACTGATGGGAATGCGGGTCTTGGAAGCAACTGTGGGAATATTTGTCTGCAGCAGAAGCGCATAGTCTCAGAGGCTGAGGCAGGAACGACTCCCCTAGAGCCTCTGGTAGAGGCCTGGAGGTTGGCTCACTCCCTGTCCAGGGCAGAAGCCTCAAGCACAGGCAGTCTGTGGTGAGTCTGTCCCAGCAACTGTTGAAGACGATCTTCCTTCTCCAGTGAACGAGCTCCTGGGAAGCGTTTGGGCCTGAACTGACACACAAACATAAATGTCTGTGGTGGTTTGAATCAGAACGGTCTCCATAGGCTCGCATATTTGAATGCTTAGTCATCGGGGGTGGCACTGTTTGAGGATAAGGAGGTGTGGCCTTGTTGGAGGACCTATGTGTGGGGGTGGGCTTTGAGGTTTCAACAGCTCATGCCAGGCCCAGTGTCTCTCTCTCTCTGCCTGAAGATCAGGATATGTCTCTCAACTACTTCTCCATCACCATGCCTGCCTGTAGGCCGAAATGCTGTCCTCCATAATGACAGTGGACTAAACCTCTGAACCTGTAAGCCAGCCCGAGTTAAATGCTTTCCTTGATAAGCGTTGCCTTGGCTGTGGAATCTCTTCACAGCGATAGAACAGTGACTAAGACAGTGTCTGCTAGAGCTCTTGACTCTAGCCTGCAAAAAGGAACGAAGAAGGTATGAGGTGCAATATGCTGTCAGGAAGCCTGTTTGCTAGGAGAGTCAAGTCATTCCTAAGCACGTCTCAGCTCCGAGATGCTGAAGGGAAGGTTTTATTCTGCACATTCTGGAAGCATGTCTCAGAAGATGAAGGGCAGTCCTGCTACCTCGAAACAGTCAATGCAGCCCATCCCACATGCAAGTGTGTCTTTTAGATGCACACAGTCAAGTAGTACCCATCATCCAAAACCTAGCTATGACACACACTTTATCGGAACCTGAGTGAGAATTAAGGACAAAGAATGTCTCACCCACTTTATCAAGGAATTCATAATTCTGAGGGTCTGAACTGGATAGTTAAGGTCGCTAATTCAGTCTTGTGACAGCCATTTTATCATGAGTTAGTTGTGTAAGATTGTCCTGGACACTGTGAGAAAATCAATGCATATGAAGATAAAAACTTTAATATCTTCTTTATTGACTTATTTTCCTAGTGTAGCTGAGGAAGTTTCCATAACTGGGTTTTTATTTTAGTTTGTGGTACTGAGGATGGACCCTAGAGCCTTGTGAATGCTAACAACCCTCTCCCACTGAGCCACATTCCACCCCAGATCCTCTTTTTGTCTTTTTGAAAAGGCATCTTATTGTATAGTCCAGGCTAGCCTCATGCTTTAGAGACTCCTGCCTCAGCCTCCCCAGCACTGAGAGGCAGGTGTGTGCCACCCTGCCTGGCTCAGAGGTGTGTAAATATGACAGGTCACGGCAGTCATGAACTCACAGCAGCTGTTCCTGTGGGCACCAGGAACACACACACACACACACACACACACACACACACACACACACACACACACACACGTCAGGGCCGCCTACCAATCAGCTACAGAGGTGGAAGGGACCCAGCCAATTCTGCCACTTGGCACTGACCTGTGGGCAGCTACCAGGGTCTGCGGGAGGGGAAGACATGGTATCCAGGTGTAAGTCCACTGTGAGTCCACCGTGTTCTGATGGCTAGTTCAAATGCGGCGGGTCCTGTAGACAGCCAGCCCTTGTTAAATGCTGCAGGACACCGAATAAGACACAGACTAGGAAACAGAGGGACAGATCTGTAAGGAAGGAGAGGGGCTGGCAGAGGTGGGGGAACTTAAGGGAGGGTGTGTATGGGGAAAATAACCAGAGTGTGTTATATGCAGGCCGGGTGCGAGCTTGCTCCGTTGTTGAACTACATAGTTGAGCCTTGAACTCCTGATCTTCACGCCTCTAGTGCTGAGACTACATGCCAAACATTTGGTTATTATGCAGTGTTGGGGAACTGAACTCACTGTTTTCTGCATGCTGGGCAACCATTCTACCAATTGAGCGGCATCACCAGCCCCAAACTCATTTATTTTAATGGAAAAAGTCATGTTTTATTTTGACCCACGATATCTCAATGATACAAGCAGAAAACTATGGTGACCGAAAGAACACAATTGTATCAGAAACAATGAGAAAGTCAATCAAATTTGTATGTAAAAGATGATGTAATCAAGTTTATT